CCTTGGCAGTCTCACGTATCCAATAATAAATACACGAGCACTGTACTCCCCATGCATTACGTCTAAAGAAGTATCTCAGTAAAAAAAGCGTCCTTAGCGAAGAAGTATTTCTCGATTATGATTATTATTATTAGTAGAAGTTGTTTATTTGCATTAATTATATTTTAATCTTTTTGAAGCGAGTATTTTCACTATATTCATTCTGTAGTGCACTATTAAGATCAAAACATATCTTAAGTCTGCTTGAATGATGGATTTCTTGTCTGCATTGGTCCAGAAGATCATCAACCTCCCAAAGATGCCACTACAAAAAACTGCTCTGGAGATGTTGTCATTTCTCCACAAAAGTGAATTACAGGAACTGTACCCAAATCTCTGGATTGCCCTCCGCATTGCAGTAACTCTTCCTGTTACAGTTGTGTCTGCTGAGAGAAGCTTTTCCAAACTGAAGCTTATGAAGACTTACCTCTGGTCGTCATTGGCAAGAACGCTTAAGTGGCCTGGCTCTCATAAGCATCAACGCACAGTTGGCACAGCAGCTGTCATATGATGACCTTGTCGATGACTTTGCATCCAGGAAATGCCGACGTATTCACCTGTAAACGCATAATGAACGACATGCATGCACATTTACCATTTACCTCACTGTATAAAAAAGTAACTGTGTTGATAATAATAATAATCAGGAATTATATTTGCAAAGTACTTTGTTTCCAAAAAAACGTTTCACTCCTGTCGGTGGTGGGGGGGGGGCTCATCTCACAATGTCGCTTGGGGCCCCAAGTTGGCCAGGGACGGCCCTGTGGTTCCTTCACTTTATTTTTATATTTATATACATTTAGTTTGGACGAAAACTTAGCGTGGGGAAAGGCATGTGTGGCGTGAGTGCGTGAGATATGGGTTCATTGCGTGACTCTCATGCTCAATGCGTGAGGGTTGGCAGCCCTGGAAAGTCGCTTTGGGTAAAAGCGTCTAGTAACATGTAATGTCATGTACTGTAAAGTATCTCAGTAAATATAATCCTCCTCACAGCTCTCCTCGAAGTGTCTCCTCTCCGGTAGATTAGAGGGTGGTGCTCCCTCTCTTCCGGCCGGGCTGCGGGTCTCTCCTGCGGGCAGAGACTTGAGGAGTCCCGCGGTGCTGCGCAGGTGTTTCCGGTAGTGTCTCCTCTCGCGCCGCTCCCACTCCTGATGGGGGTTCCCCTCCACGCGACACCACGTCTCCCTCCGCACGTTCAGCTCCCTCAGAGCCCGATGCTCTGCTCCAGACATGTTTCTTATTTAGATGTATTTTACCTTTTTAGTCAGTCAATGATCCATGGTGTAGCAGCAGTCAGTGTTTGATGCTGTGTTTACATGGCAACGGGAAACCTGAAGAAGTAGAGAGTCAAAGATATGTTGTGTTTGAGAAGATGAGTTACTATCTCTCAACAAGTTAAAGCTTAAAGATCTTTTAGACTTATCTGTTTCCCATGTTTTGCTCAGACATAAAACGTAATAGCAGATGCAGTAATATTGTAAACTAGTGTTACTTGTAGAAAAGTTAGGAGCCAACAAATGGATTATAAAGTTGCCTCCCTTACTGTATACTTACAAATGAGAAAATACAAAAACTTTTTTCCCCCTACCTTTTACTCTTCTTACCCCTGAAGCCAAAACCATCAAAAAGTGAGCAGAACAAATAATACTTTTTGGAAATTTAAATATCTATTGAACCTTTGACAAAAATATACAATTAATTATAACGTATTGCATCATAAAATGCAATTAAATACAGAATATTACCTTAAATAACTGCAGTATCAAATAAGCTACATGCATTTTCAACATACATATTATTTCCTCTTGGTACCTGGAAACAGAGACAGAGTGAGAGTTCACTTCTCTCAACCCACGACAACACTGAGGTTATTTGATCCCCCTGAGATAGACCTGCATACAACAGGAGGATTTCCATGGAAAAGGGAGTATTTGATGCAGCCACAGTCGAAGAAGCTCTCCAAACAAGTATCACAGTTATAACTCCTTACTATCAAATGCCATTTTCGGGAAATGTACATATACAAGCCTTTGTGTGGGAGATAAACTCCCTCTGGATACACAGGGATTTTAGCCTTTGCAGACCATTTACATGCTCTAAAACACAGGAAAGAGAAAACCCCAGAAAGCATAACAGGGCCTCTTTAAAGTGTTTGTGAAGATTATCTGGCTGAACAGAAGTATCATGAATACATATACACTTCAACAAGGTTACTTTTTACAATAATCCAAAAGCACTTCAATAGTGTTTTTATTTGTCAGACAGTTAATAGATTTTTTATCTTCACGGTCATCTGTATATTTTTCTTACTCTCTGATGCTGCTTTATTTCTATTTTTGATTTGTTCCTATTTTAGAATTGTTTATTTCTACTCTGTTAATGTATTATTATGTACAATGCCTTGTTTTGTTTTATTCTCGTGTAACAAAACAATTGTTTTCCCAAATCTGGATTAATAAAGTACATTTGATCTTATCTTATTTTAAGAGAGAAATCCCATTCCTTTTTGTCAAGGGAACCAACTTCCTACAACTAAGTGTTTATTACCTGCAGCTCTTGAATGAGTTTCCTGTGGGAACAGACTTGTAGCTGCAGTTCAGTCCCACTGGGTCAAAGGATGATCAGGATTAGAGCAGATAAAGGCCTGAGCACATGGAGAGGCTCATGGAGAGAACAGAACCAAGCAGGAGGACTGGGAACTCAGATATTCAATTACCAACTTTGCAGTAAAAAAATGCAACAGTTGTTACGGCCCCTACACACGGCGGCGTGCGTTGAAGCTTCAACGCTTCTGCCCATTCACTTGGGGGTGACGTCACGCTTTGCCGAACTGCATTGTGGGAGCAAAGCTTTGCTTTGCTCGCGTTGCTCACTTCAAAAGTAGAGCAATGTTCTACTTTTGAAGCTTCGACGGAAGCGTGAGCCAATCAAATCATATGCCAGTACAATAGCCAATCACACCGCGTGCTTGTGTGTCCGGGGCGGGAGATTCATGTGATTGGTTGTTGGTCGAGCTTCAGACAAGCCCGCCGGCAAGCTTCAACGCACACCACGGTGTGGACGGGCCGTTACAGAACAAATGAAATCACCTAAGAGTAAAACTTCAAAGAATATATTGTTGCTTCAAAAAGAGTAAGGGTAAGGGAGTTCTTTCTATCATCCGTCGATGTGCAGGCTCAACCTTAAAATACTTCCATTCATGAAGAACCTTTGAGTACGTTTAGCTGATATAATGTATTCTCTCTCACACACTCACCTCCTGCTTCCATTGGACTCCAACACTCGCATTGTATTGGCTAGCTCTCCAACACATTGTACGTGATAGGCTAATGGGCGGGACATCTCTAAGCGGTTGACCAATCACAACATAGCCGGCCAGC